AAAAAAAAAAAAAAAAAAAAAAAATGTCTAGCAACTTATTGAATACTTTGTTTGAATCCTCCTAGGCAGTTAAAGGGAGCACGAGTTTATCTGGTTGTCTACTCATTAACTCGGGATTACAAAATAAAATATACTACTGACCGAAAGACCACCATCTGCATCTGTGGTCGTAAGTATATTGGAATTATCCATATCCCAAAACTTGATTTGGCTATCTTCACCTACAGCCAAAAAGTGATTTTGAGTCGTGTCGAACTGCACAACACCATTTGATTTCTTTCTAAACCCATTATACGTCCTCTTTAACGCTCCTTCACTTTCATTCCATTCCACTAGAAATGAGTCCCCATCTTTGCCTGTTCCACAAGAGAACAACCTAAAAGGAAAAAAAGAATCACCATAGCTGACAGTTAGAGGATGACAAGTCATTCGAACTCTAGTTGACAACAAAAGAAAAATATGAAAAATACGAAGTTATTAGAAGCAGAAGACGAAGAACTGAGAGACAAAAAGTCTCAACACACACCGGCTTCCATCAGCACTATATAGCATAGTGGTACACCAATGCCCAGGAGCATCGTAGTCAACTCTAGATCCCATATTGTCATAAAGCCAAGCTTTAATTTTCCCATCAATAGCAGTTGAGAATATGAACTGCAAATAAATGAGCATAAAACGATATCATACTGAAAGATGTTATAGCCTAAACCTAGAACATGAATAGAGGTGTCATTGTATTGTGAAGAGTAGAAGTTTAGAAAATAGAGAGGAGGTTTGGAATGTAATAAATTCGGATCAAGCTTTTCTCCTTTGCATTATACCTGAATATTCTCTTTCTGATGAGGACAGATAGAATAAACAGGTGCTTCATGCCCTTCAAAGTTGAATAGCTTTCTCCCCATTAGATCCCACACCTGTTTCAAAATTTATCCTCAGCTTTTTTGCGAAAAGAATCAGAACTTAGTTTTCAGAAAGGATATCCAAAGTTTTCAACTCACTTTTATCAACTTGTCATCCCCACACGTTACAACACATAGCTGCTTGTTTGGATGAGCAAAAGCTATATCATTCACTCCTCCAGTATGAGCATCAATCTGCAAGTACAATGTGTAAATCAAATTTTATTTATTTTTTTTTTATTTTTTTTGGGTTACAAAATTTTATTTGAATGATCACACAAAACCATTACTACATGCCTCCAGATGTTGGCGTAAATCATTTGGTCCCGCATAGGCATATAAATGAACTAAATGCTTGGAAAATGCAGCTCCTGCAACAAGAAATTAAAAAAAAAAAAA